TATTGTCCAGCTGAACCCAAGGAATCCAGCCCCCCCCCGCACAAGGCCCCCGAGAGAGGCATTTCTGACAGGTCTTCTGACCCGCAGGCCTCCCTGAAGAGAGTGTGCAGCTTCTCAAGCAGGAAGGCACTTTGCGGCTAAGTCTAAACGAAACAGAAGTGACTATGCACACACACACACACACACACACACACACCAGAATAGGGAAACCGTCATTTTCCTACTCGCCCTCTGACATCAGCCACCTCCTGAGTCGCTGCAGTGTGTCTGCGCTCAACCTAATCCCTGGCGATGAAAAATGAGCCTCTCCCCCACTCGTGCTGCTGCCTTGCGCCTCACGCCCCCAGAGAAGAGTTTCTTTGTGAGGCAGCTGGTGAAGGTTTTTTTCCAAGTCACATGATCCAGGATGCAGGGGAGAATCCTTCTTGGAACCGAGATGGGCCCAGAACCGGAGCAGATGTGGAGCGATAAGGTGTGATGTGGGGAAGACTATATAAGAATGGGCCCCAGGCTGCAGCGAGCACTCCACCGAGTGGCCCCTTCTCAAGACACAGCCATGCACGAGCCAGCAGGCTCCGTCGCCAGCCACTGGGGGACCACGAGCCGCAGTTACTTCTACTTCACCACGGCCGCGCTGGCTGTGTGTCTCGTCTTTGCTGTGGCGACCATCATGGTGCTGGTGGTTCAGAAGTCGGTAAGTGGACTTCTCCTCCTCGCCTTTCCTTTCTGATTTACGTTCAGTTTTCCCCAGAGAGAGCCTTGGGAATCAGCTAATAAATTAGCAGCGAGGTTTGAAAATAAAAAATGCATAGATCATGTGGAGAAAGGGAGTAGAGAAACGGGAACTTAACTCTCTGAAATATTTTGGTTTTTGGAAAGAAAGGTTTGTTGAGCTATCTCAAAACTTTCCAGACTCCCTGAGCCAACAGAGGGAGGAGAGCGCTCAGCTCTGAGAAATGAAGGTTTAAATCATGTTGAGCCAGGGACTCTGAGCAAGGAAGGAGGCAATAAGGAAGCCGGGTAACACTGTTTGCACAACTTCTCACGTTTTCAAAGTCCTCAGGCCAGATTCCCAGGGTCTATATTCTCAGATCAAATATTCCTGAGATTCCTGTGACCTCGTTCATTGCCAAGGGCTTTTTTCTCTTTTTTTTTTTAACAAGAAGCTAAGTGTCCAAGACCACGGTCTGAAAGGGAAGGGGGCAAAAGGGAAGACCAGGGCCGCTTAGAGCTTTGAGCATTTCAGCATTAAAACCCACAAGACAAATTGAAAGCTCCCTCGCAAGTCAGTGCTTTGAAGAGCTGAGGGTCACAAGAAACAGAGCCCAGAGATGGATCATAGAAATGTTTTTAACGCCTGTTCCCTCCGAGACTGCTCAGAATGCTGAAGCTACAAGCCATGACGGGTGCACATGGTAGAGTCACACCTCTCAGGAGGCTTTGTTTGAAGTAAAGTGTGAGCTTTGGTGCAAAAACAGAAGCGATGAAGGAGGAAGCCTACTCATATTTTAAGAAATTGGAGTTTACAGAGAATCCACCCATAGGTATTATAAAGAGCAGTGTCTGGAAGTACATGTTGTTGAATTCTGGAGTAAAGGTTTTATTAATTTCGATAGCTTAAGAACTGTACCCTCTCCCCACCCTGCCAGAGTGAGAACATTTCTGTTTGTTCCTTCATAGTTCCCACTTGTGGTGGCATTACAGCCCTGTAGAATTGGCCCTGGTTTCTCTCCCACTCCCTTAGGCTGAAGGCTCTGTAACTCGTGGATTACTAAAAAGAATTGGGCTTTAAAAGGCTTTGGTATCTTTTCTCAAGTGTCCTCAAGCTTTGAAATTTACATGACGCTTTGAGTCTCATATCTCCATAAAAGTGGGGAAAAAAACAGAATTGCTCTATTTGATTTCGTTGGTAGAGTTTATGAAACTCGTCATTTAATGGCCTTATCTACATCTACTAAAACTAATACTCTGAAAACATTCTAGGGCACTCTTTTTTTGGTAGAGGCTGTATAATTTTCTGTAATTCTAATTTGATGTAAACACAGGTGTATCATTTTATAGCAACGGCCAAAGAAAAGAAATTGAAGTGGCCTTTAAGGTATTTAAAGTTTGCATCTAGAACTTCTGAGAGAGAGAGAGAGAAGAGAGATGATTGCAGTGGGATGGTGATGGTGACATATAAAGCCAGAGAACTCCAGAATAGTTCTTATTAAATCCCAGTTTTAGTTGAATTGATTCTTTTCATAAAGGAACTGGCATGGATCTTTCTGCCTCATTTTTGTAAACATGGAAAATGAGGAACAGAAAGGGGACAGAGCTTGAACTAAGTCATCTTGAGAAAGTGGTAGAGTCAGCTGCTTGC